CCACAAGCATGGTATGTTCTTCCATTTATGTAGATCTCTTACAGTTTCTTGAAGTATATTTTGTAGTTTTCTTTGTATAGGTCTTTTGTGTTCCTGGAAAGATTTATTCCCAAGTATTTTATCTTTTTGGTAGCTACCATAAATGGTATTTATTTCCTTTTCAGCAATCTCTTTGCTGGTGTAGAGGAATCCAACTGATTTTTACATTGATATGGTTATGTCTTCTTGGTCAATTGATCATTTAATCATCATATAATGCCCTTCCTTTTCTCTTATGGTCATTTTGTCTTAAAGTCTATTTTATCAGAAATTAGTATTGCCATTCCTGCCCTTTTTTGGTTGCCTTTTGCTTAATATAATCCTTTTTCAACCTTTAATTTTTAGTCTGTTTTTTTCTTTGTGTGTAAGGTGAGTTTCTTGTAGACAGCATATTGATGGGTCATGTTTTCTTCTCCAGTCTGCAATTCTTCATCTCTTGAGTGATGCATTTAATTCACTGATATTCAGTGTAATTATCAACAAGTATGAATTTATTGATGTTATTTTGTTATGTGTTTTTTTCATGGTGTTGCTGATTTGTTTTTTCCATACAATTTTCTGTGCTGAGTTTATTTTGTTTATGAATAGTGTTATCTCCTTTTTTGCTATTGTTTTAGTATTTGCTAAATATTTGTGCTTGTCCTCTTTTTTGTTTTGATCTGAAGGTTTATTTCTTTTTCTTTGAGGTTACCCTATGATTTATAATTTTCTTCCTGAGTTTAAAACAGTATGCTCTATCTTGCAATTGTCTTAACTTCCTCACCATTTAGAAGTTCTATAACTGCACCATTTATTCCCTCTGTTTGTTTTGTAGTTGTCCTCATTTACCAGTTGATGTCTGTAGTTCCCTGTTTACTGTCTTTTAAGCTTATTTTACTTTAGATACTTCCATAACTGTGATGGTTTCTGGGTTATATCATCATGTGTGTTAATCATCTGCTGTTGTTGGTTCTCTATCTGAAGGACTCCCTTTAAGATCTTTTGTAAAGTTGGTCTGATTTTAACAAATTCCCTTAATTTCTACTTATCTGGAAATCTTCTAATTTCACCCTCATACTTAAGGGACAGTTTTGCTAGGTATATAATTCTTGGTTGGAGTTTTTTTTTTCAGGGCTTTATGTATATCACCCCCATTGCCTTCTCTTCTGCATGGTTTCTCTGCTGAGAAATCAGAGCTTAGTCTTATTTGTTGTCCTTTATAGGTAAATTTTCATTTTTCCCGTGCTGCTTTCAGGATTCTTTCTTTGTTTTTGGTTTCAGTGAGCTTGATTATGATATGTCTTGGAGATTTTCTTTTGGGGTCTATCCTGTTTGGGGTTCGTTGAACTTCTTGAATAGATATA